AGAGAGAGAGAGAGAGAGAGAGAGAGAGAGAGAGAGAGAGAGAGAGAGAGAGAGAGAGACCTTTAATATTAAATAATAATATTTTTTTTAAATAAGACAAAACTTCATAAATGGTCCCTGTAGTAGTGAAAAGACAGAAATGTCCTTTACTTAACGGACAAAAGCTAACGGAGTTAGCGAAAAGGACCATATGTTAAAAGTTTTGAAACCACTGGGACGATCCGTGAGGTTTTTGTAAATTAAGGACCAAACTTCAGATTTTCGGAAACCACAGGGACCATTTTTGAAGTTTTGTCAACAACAAATTATGGTATTTATCCAACTTAAAATTTAAATATCAAATTTAAATTGACTTTATTATCCTTAAATACCAATAAACTTTTTTTCAATATAATAGGTTGACCGAATTGCCCCTAATTACTACTACACTTTTGGAATCAGATCAATTGTAGCCTAATATCCTAACTAGGGATGAGAATTTGGTCCGAAAACCCGAATCGAACCGAATTAGGCCTGAATAAGCAATTCGATTCGGGTTTCGGGTATCTATGTTATGCTTATTTGGTTTTCGGGTTATTCGGTTCGGGTTACCCAAATAAGAGCTTATTCGGTTCTAAATACCCGACCCAAATAAGCATTCCTCCTCTTTCTCCGATCGATCGAAATCAAAATCACGATTCACACTTATGTTCTCGTCGTTCATAACAGAAAAAAAACCCTATGCTCGGTCTCATTGTTTCAAAATCGACCAATCTTCTTATCTATTTCCAAACTCAAAATCACTTCTGTCGATCCTTCCTCTTGTTTCAAATATTCAAAAATCGACCCTTCCTATTGTCTTTAAAGATTCACGAATTCCTACTTTGTCTAGTCATGGAAAATTGGGTTTCAACTCAAGAAACTCAAGTAAGAAATTAATTCTCATTATGTTAATCTACTATTAAATGTTATTCTTTCAATATGTTATTATGTTATGAATGTTTTGTTTTGATGTATAAAAGTACATTGTTATTCTATTATTCGGGTTATAGAATCCTAATACGGTTTATTCGGATTTTTTGGGTTGTATTAAGTCATTAATCATCTTGTACATGTAATTCGGGTTATTCGGGTAATACCCGAACCGAACCGATTAATACCCAAACCGAACTGAACCCGTATTGGTTAATCAGTTCGGTTTTCGGTTCATGCAGTTACCCTTATTCGGTTTCCGGGTTATTCGGGTCCGGGTCGGTTCGGTCCGGTTCCGACCCGAATAACATCGCTAATCCTAACCATTCTTTAATATGATAAGGAAATCACACATTCTTTTCTATCAACAAAATCATGTGTTCGTGAACACAGACTGTAGTTGTCTAGAGTTGAAGTGTCCAAATCTTTTTCTATTAAAACTGTCAAAAAAAGTTCTTGAAACTTAATTGACTCTTGATATTTATGGAGTAAAACTTCTTTCATGATTCATTTCTATTTCATCAAGAATAGCCAAAAAGAAAGATTCTTCCTTTATTATTTTGTGATTTATTAATCTCATCATTCTTGAACTTCATCACCAAAGCATCCCTGTAGTACTCATCCACTGGACAACATACAACGAGTCCAAAATACTATGTAAAAAAGAACAACTAAAAAAAACCTACGCCTAATTAAGTGATAAAAAATGACTCAAAAAGAACACCCAAAACCAAGGAACAAGAATGCCAAGGTCTTTGTGAACACACCACCAAAACCATCCATGGCAACATTGTTTTGACCACACACCAAAAAAAGCAACGAAGTTTCAGAACACTACCAAAAATAACAACCCACTTTTGCTAACCCCTTTGAAACACAATCACCAACACACCCCAATAACAGCTCATCAACTTCGAGGGTTAAATAGTCAAGATGATTATGAAATTAGCCTTTTGTATAGAGTAAGACGATCAAGTTCTCCAATAAACTAGCAACGCATCAAGTAAGAGAACTCCACATTTGTTAGAACGAGGTAGAACATAAAAAGAACCCTCCTCAATCAAACGAAATGAACCCGCATGATGAATTTAGACTGCCAAACACTAATGATTTTGTAATAAGTATTGATAAAAAGTAACCCAAGAATGAAGATAAAACATCAACTTAATCGATTCCAAAATTATTGATGATGAAATCAGTAAAACATGATTCATCACTTGTTGGAATTGATATCAACGATGAGGAAATACGTTAAAAACGATTCCAAAAACACGAAGTCACTACTGAGGAAATCTGCGCTAAGTCAAGAATGGCATAGAAACGATGACAATGCCCTGGTGCCTTCCGATTTCACTGATGAGGAAATCGGTGCCAAGTCCACAACAACTGAGCAATGACGACAATGGCCTCTTCCTACTTGCGTTGTTTTTGGTTTTAGTTTGAAGGTGTTCGACTTTGTGGTAGGGATATAATTTTGAAACAAGGGTATTATGGTCAATTTAAATTCATTTTTAATTAAAATGATTTTAAAAAATAAAATTTGATTAAAATGTCTAAAAAAAGGATTTTGGGTAAATATGATATTTTGAAGGTTATGAAGGGTAAATACGATATTTGGAATTTAAGTTGGGTAAATACGATATTTTCATGTTTAACAAGGGTATATATGAAATTCTTCTAAAAGACAAATATGGGCTCATTTTTCTAAAGAAAACGAGAGTACAAACCACAAATCCGTTTCATCTTGTTAATTAACTGATTTGGTTTTATCCATGATTTTCTTTCATAAGTCAGTGTTCGTAATCTTTTGGGTTTATTCTTCGTTCTTGATGGTTTGAAGAGCATGGCGAATTAGGGTTCCAAGCTTCCATAATTACCTAACAGAGCATGGTGATTTAGGGTTAAGTTTTGGGAAACAATACACGATGGTTTGAAAAGTATGGAAATTTAGGGTTCCAAGCTTCAATAATCACCTAACAGAGCACGGTGATTTAGGGTTAAGTTTTGGGAACAATATGCGATGGTTTCTCCCGGAACATCTTTAATGTATTGCTTCCAAATTTTGATTCTCTTTGTAAGGTTGTAGGAGTGGTGCCACAAGAACCACACTCCCTCCTCTGTTATGTAGGAGCTACATAGGT